GTGTCACTGATTATCCTTATAATGCACAAAAATGATGTAAGTAGGTACCAGTATTTTGTTACTTACAAAATACAAATACAAAAACACACAATAGTAAAGTGTTTTTTTTTCCATTTGCTTATACAAGACGATACACAGCAACAGAAAAGACTTGATGCACCATCATTATTTATTGTCTCTTGCCTCTTTTATCATTTTGTGATATCCATCAGCTTACTGAACATAGCATTTTATGTCCATATTGTGCAGCCCTAGTAAGTTTCCATTCTAGAAATGTGCTTTTTGTCTGGCTAACATTTACAGTACCGCATTAGATTTCCTTTGGTGCCATTTCATAAGAAGAAAGTGGAACAAATCAGTCCAATCAAAATGTCAGGTTTGTAAGATTTTTTTCAAAGTTCCAGCATCCCAAAAGCACATGTTTATGCTAACTTTATAATGCTTATTAAATATCATCTGATACTGTGATACTTTGACATCTCTGAAAAAGATGATCCTGATCTGAATGCCACCTCTAAAAAATGTCTGCTGTTATTCAGATATTTTCACATATTTTATTTTCATGTATTTTAAGGTTAAGCAGATCCTGGCAGAGGTAAATCTAACAACAACAAATCCCATGAACTAATAAACTAATCTGCTGCACCCAGAAAAGAGCTCAGTGAACGATGATCACATCAGAGCACACTTGCTATCCCAGAAATAGCTTTTCCACCAAGTCTACAAAAACTCCAAGTCTGTGAATTAGCTGAGCTTATGCAGTGTGACTTTGGGAAAAACGCCAGTGTGTCTTATGTTAATGTCTCAGCCCTCCGCTTAAAGAGCCCTGCATTTATCATCACAAACTTTCAAATCATCATGACAGTCACATAAGCACCCTGCTTTTCTGCTGATGCTGTCAGAGCTTTTCAAACATACTGTATTTGCTGACTAAACGCAGGTCCCCAAAAATAAATGCTTCCTCTCAGAGCTGTGAAAGCAACGCATATACACAGTGAATGTGGCAGAACTGAGGTGTTATAAATCCCTCTAGACATGAGGAGCTGCTGACTAAATTTGTCAAGCATGAGTTTACAAAATATTTAAAACCTAAGGTAGCAGCCTGGCTGTCTGTTCATTATGCATGTAGCTCACTTCTGATCACTGAAGGAGAGACACAAAGTGAGAAAATTTCATGATGCATGAACATCATGCACCGATCCCCACTTTTTCTCTCCTGATACCAATTCGATCTCGGGGTATCAGCTGTTACAGAGTACTGATCCGATACCAGGGCTACTTTTATTCTTCACCTTCAACTAAAGTGCTATTTGTCTGGGATTAGATTTCCATAGAGAGATGGGGTAATGTAATTTTATCATAGGATGTCTGTAATGTTTATTATCAATTCACACAGGATAATAAATCTCATTATGAATTACAGAGATGGGAGGGGCTATCTGATTCACCACTGCCTTCACTCCAAAAGAGGGTGGTAAACATTTCAACATATATCATCAAATATTGAATTAAAATCAAATTTAAACACCTTTCCGATGCCGATATGTGTTTTAAGCAAATATCTGCCAAAACAGTTTTGAATATGGGTTGGTCACATCTGTTTAATGCAGTATTGGTGCTGATGCAATGCACTGGATTGGTGCATCACTATTTGCAGTTACATTAATGTAACATCAACAAACTGAGAAATTATTACCTTAGTGCAGTGATTCAATAATGTTGCTTTGCATGTTTTCACAGCTGACAGCGTTTGATCCACTGAACGATTACAGTTTACTGATTCACTTTCAACTCCTTCACCACTGCCAAGGCTTATAAATATATTCCTCTTTACATAGCACATAAGCTGACAGACAGCACAATTATACTACTTAAGTACATAAAGAAATATTAACTAATACAGATGACTTTTTTATCTAAGCATATCATGTACTCATACATAATGCATGGGAGGGGGTAGGCAAGACCACTACACCATGCTGTTGTAGGCTTGGTGCGACATGGCTAAAGCACCTTGGCCTGAAGCAGCACAGCGTGCTTGCTATCAGGTACAGCTGGCGTTTCAAACGTGACCCTGAGGTCTGCAGGCTTCAAAACCTCAAAACCACATGTGGCAAGGCAGACTGTCAATTACTGCCTTTGAGGCAAAAATACACAAGACTCCACAGGAAAACCTCTTGGATATCCTGCACGTTAACAAACGAAAAGATAAGTCATTTGTTGTCAGCAGAGCACAGAATCCATTTGCAATACACTGAAATTGAAGTATTGTTGCTGCTTTATGTTTAAGAATTAATGTATGGATAAAACAGCAGTTACTCAGATCAAATTTATTATTCTTTACATATATGACAAAAAATAAGAAAATGACTCTGTAATCCTATTGATTCCTTACTTATGTGACACAAAACGTTTCTCTTTTATCCTTTACTGCCACTGCAGAGGCACTGAAATTAAAAGAGCACACTGAAGAGTCAGCAGCTCTCGTGCGCTGTCGCTGTAATTTTAAAAAACTAGCTGTTCACAGTTTCTCTTGCTGTACTGCAGTGTGTGTCCACAGGCACAGCAAGACAAAGTGCCTTGCACACACTTTTCAGGGTTTCTAAATAATCAGAAGTTCAGTGGCTGTGCAAACCCTTGAGAGCACACAGGGGGAGGTGGGGGCTGGGGGTGGTAAGAGCAGGTTGCCATGGAAACAGTTACAGTGACCAGAAAACCAGAGCGTCTTGGGATCTGGGAGTTTCACTGTACATCCATTTTTAATGTAACATTGTTTTTATGCCACAACTTTTTCATTCCTGATTCAAATCTGGAGAGCTTAAGCTTGATCTCCTACTGCGGTATTCCAGGTTCATCAGGTTCATTTGGGATAAGCACTCTGCACCAATTACCGGTTACAAAGACAGGTTTAGTTCTCTTCAGTGACAAGCTAAACCATTTTCAGCAATGATACATCTAACAGTCTCATAAATATCCAGTGGCATTCCGTGCCTCTTTATCTCAGCTCCACAAGAATGAAGTGCCAGAATGCAAAGTAAAGCAGATAACTTAGTCAGTCAGTGCCAACAGTTTTAAATGCTACGCTTCAGGATTTTGTTGGCTTTATCTCACAGTCGCTTAATCCACAAGCCAGAGACTACGGGAGCTTCAGAAGCAGTTTAAACCATTAGAGGTGCCATCAAACTCTCTACATAGTATTACCACACAGGCTTTGCTCTCTGGTCCAATTAAAACCCATCTGGACATCTATGCTGACTATACCTTGACATCAAAACAGACCACCAACTGACCTGAGGGAACTTAAATGAAGGAACTATGGGTATACACATTTTACTCTTAGTTCGGTCAGCTGTAAAGACTATGCTTAATTTACTAATTTCCCTTACTATTGCTAAAGCTACCTGACTCCTAGCCAGTCCTGTTTTCAGATCAGATTTATCAAAATGTGACAAATAAAATGTCTTTTCCCCTCAACTGCCAAGATTTTTCATTTGTATTGTCAGCAACAATAGCAGGCTCCAGAAACAAAGGCTCACTGAATCTTACATGTACGCTGTATGGCCAAAAGTATGTAGACACCCCTCCTGAGTTTAGGTGCTTCTGCCATACCCATTGATAAAATCAAGCACTGCCATGCAATCTCCATTGACAAACATTGGCAGTAGATTGAGTCATGCTGAAGAGCTCAGTGACTTTAAAGATACCGCCTTTGCCTCAAGTCAGTTTGTGAAATGTCTGCCCTCCTAGATCTGCCCCAGTCAACTGTAAGTGCTATTCTAATTAAATGAAAGCAACAACAGCTCAGCCATGAAGTGATAGACCACGCAAACTCACAGAGCAGGGCTGTCGAGCGCTAAAGATCACCTATCCTCCACTGCATCACTGACTACAGAGTTCCAAACTTCCTCTGGAAGCAACATATGTACAAGAAGTGTGTGTCAGGAACTTCCTGAAGTGTGTGTCTATGGCCAAGCAGTTGCACACAAGCCTAAGATCACTTTGCGCAATGCCAAGTGTAGGCTAGAGTGGTGTAAATCACTGGACTCTGGAACAGTGATAACATGTTCTCTGAAGGATGAATCACGCCTCACTTTCTGGCAGTCTGATGGATGAATCTGGGCTTGGAGGATGCCAGGAGAACGCTACCTACTGCCTCCATAATGCCAACAGTAAAGTTTGGTGGAGGAGGGATAATGGTTGAGCCTGTTTTTCAGGCACACTTTCAATGTTAGGCACTTTCAGTGTTAAGGCACACTTTCGGCCTTGTACTGAAGCATATTTAAAACAGCAGGAAACATAGCAATGGGCATGCTCTCAGCCAAACCAGCGTTTCTCCAGCTATAGGCAAAAAATTTATATTACAGGCAAAAAACTCCTCTCCTGTTTTATTACTACTGACTTGCATGTTCTTAATTATGCTAGAAAAGAGAATGAAAGCTCTAATACAAACTCTATTAAGTCTGACACACCAAATTTCATCAACATCTCAAAAGTCTTGACACTACTGGGAGAAAAGTCCTCTTTTAAAAAAACAGAAACACTTGGTTACTTTTGTAAAGAGAGCAGTTAGTCTATGTAGTTGTACAAAAATTCAAGTGGAACTGATTTCAGACCCAACACCATCTTTAGACCTAAACCAGATAACATAACACAATAACCCAAAATAATCTGACAATACTGGACACAGAAATATGTGAATACTGATATTTGAAGGCAGTTTTATCCAAGGGTGGCAAGACGCTGGCCTGTTGCCAGCCTTAAACGATAAAGCCATGACTTTACACTCTTTCAGGCGTCAGGCCGGTGGTCTTTATCACTGCCCCTGAATAACATGTTTACACCAGCACTTTATCACACTGATCAATGAAGCACAATCAATCAGATTCAGTTAAGGGTCAACACGACCTGCTCAGTCCACCTACACTTATTCACACCCATCCGTCATGACTTTACCACCGTTAACCTGAAAAAAGAATTGAGCGCAGGAGTGAATCGCTTACCTGTCGTTTCCACTATTCCCTCCAGAATCACCACTATTTCAAACTGTTCTGTGTGCATGGAGCGCTGGGAGAGCTCGTAGAAGGGGCTCTTGCTGTCAATCACGTGGCAGATAGTGAGTGGAGACACGAGGAAGAGCTGATCAGCCCCTGTACTGAATCCAACGTCCAGCTCCAGCTGATCCAGAGGCAGGAACTCACCCTCGGGCGTCTGCCGAGACTAGGAGCACATAAGAGAGAGAGAGAGAGAGAGAGAGAGAGAGAGAGAGATGGAAAGATGAGGAGACAAGAAGAGATGGAAAGACAGAGTGAGAGAGGGAGTAAGACAGGAAAGGAGAGAGTATGAAGTAAAGAGAGAGAGAAAGGAGAAGAGAAAGGGAGGAAGAGTGAGACAGGAGAGAAAAAGGGACAGAGGATGAAAAAGAGATGTGAAGATGGAGAGAAAAGAGAGAGAAAGAGGGAGCAGGATAAAAAAGAGGCAGAGACAAGAAAAGAGTGAAAGAGGTATGTAGAGAGATAAAAAGGATTAAGGTTATGAGAGGGAGGGAGAAAGAGAGAGCAAGATATAAAGATAGAAGTGAGAGATATGAGGAGGTAAGGAGAAATGGAGAGGGATTAAGAGTGGGAGAAAAAAGTGAAAGAGAACAAGAAGCAGAGAGAAAGGAAGAGGGAAAGAAAGAGGGAGAGAGATGTAGAGAAATACAGAGGGGGAGGTGGAGACAAAAAGAATGAAAGTGAAGGTGGGACAACAAGTAAAAGAGAGAGAGAAAAGAGGGAGAGACATGAGAAGTGTGATAGAATGAGAGAGGAAAATGAAAAGAGGGAAGCAGAGAGATAAAAAGGGAATAAGAGACAGAGAACTACTATTTTATGGCAATTGATACAGAAACTACTTAAATCTTTAAATGTTCATTATTTTTGCTTCAGTGAAGAAATACTGTAACTAAATATGATCATGTCAGTATTGAACTGAAGAGAGAGAGAGAGAGAGAGAGAAAGAGTAAGAAAGGAAAGAGAGGCAGAAAGAGAGAAAAAAGACAGATTGATATTGAGAGACAGACAGAGAGAAAAGAGACAGAGATTGATACTGAGAGAGAAATAGAAAGAGAAAGAGAAAGAGAGAGAGAGAGAGAGAGAGAGAGGGAGAGAGAAAGTGAAACCTGGCAGTTGACTAAAGGTCAGAGGATAACAAAGGTACAGGCACACCTCTGTGCTAAAGTGTCCTTCTCTAACGTTTTTAATCAGGGACTGATAAAAGCAATGAGGCTGCAAACCTAGAAAAAATGCTGCAGGCCATGACAAATATCTGACTGATGTGTAATAACAGACTGTTACAGCACCGTTTTCACTTTTACCTACTGTTGTTAGTAAGTTATAAGTAACTTATAACTGGATATTTCACTCTGACGAAGTAAGTGGATTTTCTTTGAGAATAATTTATAGCCTAAGAATTGCTGCACTAAGAGACACTCAGTCTACACAGATTCTATCAGATCTAAAGCTGTTAGAGAGGCAGCAGTTTCAGGACAGCTTCTGACACGTAGGCTGAGTAAAAGCAGCTCTAACTGTTAGTTAAGTTGATCAGTGTATTAGCTATGCTGCTTCTTTTACCACAGAATTCAGCACCCAGCCGGATAAACCAACTTAAGTCATCTTCTTATGATCTCTTAAAGTTTACATTCCCCTCACCTTGGTAAGTTAATGAAATGTGAAGCTTAAGACAAAGAAAACATTTTTTTTCCTCAGTTTTCTCAGATCATGACTTGTGTTTCCTGTCAACGTTTCATTGTTGCTATACGGATGGTCAGCTAACAGCCAACACTCACAGTAAAGCTACATTAATGACAAAAAAATAGTGCTGGAAGGTTTTAAAAAAACAATAACTTCGGGATTAATTTTAACATTCTGCTCCTGTGTTTTAAGGTCTAAATGGGTTTACACTGTAATACATTTCAGAATGCCTGACACACTACTTTCCTAACTGTGTTTAAGATCATCAGTGCTTACTGAGGTTTTCAAAACTGAAGAGCAAAAAGACTGGAGAAGCAGCTTTCTGATACTCAAAGATCTTTAATACTTTACACCCTTAAACAGGGGCTTCTTCAAGGTTCTTTAGTATAGAATCATGACAGCTCAAAGAACCATGTGAATGCTTGCATGCTTGAATGTTACATTCTTCTTCTGTTTGATGGAAAACATTGTGTCTGTGGTCTTTAAAGAACGTTTTAAAAACGGTTTTAGATATCAAACAGGAACCCGTTTTTAGACCTAAATGGAAACCTTTTGCGGAAACTGTACCTATTAATATCCATCAAGCACCTACCCACCTTTTTTTTATTTAATTTTGCAATTTATTAGCTACTGTGTTTTATATATTAGCTTTTTATATTTTTCCTTTTTATGTCATTATTTGTAATTCTAATTCAGTTAGTCTTATTGTTTTAGCTGCCATTCTTATTTCCTTTTCCTTTGTTTAACTTTTCAGTGCATTTCTTTTAATTGTATGTTTTACGCTATATTCCTATTAGCATGGGGGCATAGGAGGATAAGCGGCTTACATGATGAATGAATGAATGAATGAATGAATGTTTCATACACACCGACATATTTCATTGTGCACCTTGAGGTGCGTTTATGTGTTTAAGACCCTATATGAGTAAAGGTATTATTATTATTATTATTATTATTATTATTATTATGCTATCATTATATCACAGATTGCCCTGCAATGGACTGGCGACCTGTCCAGGGTGTATCCTGCCTTCCGCCCAATGACAGCTGGGATAGGCTCCAGCACCCCACCGCGACCCAGAAGGATAAGCGGTTTAGATGATGTATGTATGTATGTATATCACAGATATAATGCTCTTTCTCTATCAAAAGCTTTCCCACTGTGAAAATCAATACATGTCAATATCAGTATACCAGTATAGACAATACATTGCTCAGCGGGGGGTTTGCCAGTCAATTTTAGGGGGGCTTTAAAGGCTCAGTCTCACTATTCGTGAATTCTCCATAACTAAATTGTTAAAAAGTAAACAAAGCCTTTGAGAGTGGTTTAATCTGAAATGTACGTTTTAGAGAAACTTGCCAAGTCAAAGTTGTTCACAGTGGTGGTGATAGGAACCAGACGTCTGAAGTTTAATGCCTCGAAAATCTCCCTCACAGAGTTACTTTTTTACATGAAATGTTTAGGAATACGCTGCTTGATGCATGAGACATTGTTTTGCCATAGTTTTAAGAGAAGCTTTGGCCTAAACTTATTTTTAAACACACATTTATGGTGGAGAGGTGCATGCAGCGTGCTATAAGGCAAAATTCTCTGCAGATAAGATGTATTTATTTATTATTTTACCAATTATCATAGTTACATATAATTACTTTTGGATAGTAAATAAAATGGCTATATTTGTGTTGTAGACATTGTGACCCTTTTCCTATCACCACCGCTATGAAGACTTCTGAGTCTATAAATTTCTCTACAAATGAACACTTTCAAATCATTACATCTCAAGAACTGAATTATGCAGAAATTCCCCTTTAAGAAAAACACACATTTTGTGCCTTTAGTGTTAATGTGTTAATTCTGCCACGTAGAGATCGTCTTCACTGTCTTTTCTGCTTAAAAATGCGTGTAGAGATGGTCTGGTAGCAGAATTAGGGGGTTTGCTAAGGCACAAGTGCAGCTGCACTGAAGTTGTGAGACGAGCTGAAGGAAATCATTAAAGAATATTCATAAATCTCTAGGTTTAAAAGGGAGTTTAGGCTTGTTTTTACACTCAACTCAGTCTACTCTAAGTCTCTGATTTTCCTTAAGGGGAATTCCATTGATTTTTCAAACTTTCTGCATAATTACATAGTTAAGACGACAAGAAAGTCATTCAGAGCGGTTTGATGTGAAATGATCTGTTCTAGAGAAACTTACTGAGTAAGAACTGTTCACAGTGGTGGTGATAGGAACCAGACGTCTGAAGCGTTCAATGCCTCTAAAAGCTCCCTCACATGAAGTTACTACATTATATGATTACGAATGCACTGCCTGATGTCTGACACATTGTTTTAATAAAGTTTTGAGGTAAGGATTTGGCCTAAAACAAATGTTTAAAGGCCATTCATGATGAAAGGGTACATGTAGGGCGTTATGAGGCAAAAGTAATTTTTTCAGGATTACCACTATCTTACCGTAATCATGTTACATCATTACATATAAAAAGCCTAGAAGACACATGTAGGCTCACGGGCCATTTTGGATAGCTAGTTAAATGGCAATTTTAGCACTGTAGACAATCCCTGGCTCCCATCACCACCACTGGAAGGAAAAAGTTGTCAAGTTTCTCTACAATTAGTCTCTGACTCTGAATTTTCATCAATCAAGAATTCCCCTTTGAGGGTCAACTGGTGGTGTTCCAGCAGGGCAGGAGCACTTACTTTGAGCAACTTGCAGCGGATCTGCGCAGACACCATGTGACTGTTCCTCAGGTTGCCCACCCTGAACATGAGGGTCAGTTTGCCGTCCCGCATGGAGATGGCCGCATGCTCGCTGAACATGAGCGTCTCCGCGCGCTTCTTGGGCTGCGACATCTTGATGAACATGCAGCCGATGAGGAAGGCGTCCACGATGGAGCCCAGGATGGACTGGAAGAGGAAGAGGATGATGCCCTCGGGGCACTTGTCCGTGATGTAGCGGTAGCCGTAGCCGATGGTGGCCTCGGTCTCGATGAAGAAGAGGAAGGCCGAGGGAAAGTTGTACACGTTGGCCACGCAGGGGGTGTACTTGTCGTCGTGCGCGCGGTTCAAGTCGCCCCTCACGTAGGCGATCACCCACCACATGGAGGCCATGAAGAGCCAGGCCACCGTGTAGGTGAGGATGAAGATGAACAGGTTCCAGCGCCATTTCAGGTCCACCAGCGTGGTGAAGAGGTCGGACAGGTAGCGGCTCGTCTCTCCGCCCAGGTTGCCGTGCTGCACGTTGCAGCGGCCGTTCTTGTCCACGAAGCGCTGCCGCTTCCTCTTCTTCTCTGGCGCGGGCTGCTGGAAGCCGGAGCCGCCGGACGACGACGTGGTCACTATCTGGTAGTCGTCCCCGAATTTCTTCCGAAGTGCGGACATAATAGGCTGCGGGCAGTCAGAGAGGCAGCGGGGACAGAAACAAGTAGAAGACATAAGAAAAGCAGAAGGCAGAGCTGTGTGCGTTAAACAGAGGTGCCGGACGGGTAGAGAGAGCCTGAAGTGTTCTGCGCCTCAGAGCCAGTTCTGTGTGTTTGGAGTGTGAGAGAGAGAAAGAAGGAGGGAAGGAAGAAGAGTCTTACCTGTGTTTGACCATACGGATCCGCTCCCTCCTCTCACAGTGCGGCTCAAAGGGGAGGAAATGTATACTAGCTGATTAAAAATGGGTTGCGATGCATGTCTGCTCGTTAGGAACGGCAGCTGCGCTTCTGACTGAAAACACGGAGAAACTCTCCTCGCGACTGCTGCCGCTCGCTCATCTGCCTCTCTCTCTCTCTGCCAAGCTCTCTCTCTCTCTCTTCTCTGCCTTTCCCTCTCCCTTTCTCTACTGCTCTCTCTCTCTAGCTGTCTCTTTCCCCCCCTCTTGTTCTCTGTCTCTCCCTTTTTCTTCTTATTCTCTGCCTCTCTTACTTTTTGTTTCTGTCACTCTTTTTCTCTATTTTCCTGCTCTTTCACTCTAGCACTCTCTCCCCTCTTGTTCTCCGTCTCTTTTTTTCTCACTCACTCTTGTTCTCTGCATCCCTCTCTCCCTCTTTTTTACTCTGCCTCTCTATCTCTTTCTGCCTAGTTTACTATCTCTTTCTCTCCCATCTTGTTCTCTGCCTCTCTCTTCACTCTTGTTCTCTGCCTTTCTTTTTCCTCTGCCTTTCTCTCTCTGTCTAGCTCTCTCTCTCGTTCTCCCCCATCTTGTTCTCTGCCTCTTTTACTTTTTCCTGTTTCTCTGTCACTCTTTTAACTCTGTCCGTCTCTTTTTCTCTACTCTTTCACTCTAGCTCTAGCTCTTTCTGTCCCCTCTCTCTCTTCCTCACTCTCTCTCCACTCTTGCTCACTGCCTCTCTCTCTCGCTGCCTAGCTCTCCATCTCTTTCTCCTCCTCTCGTTTTCTGCCTCTCTCTTTCTCTCCCTCTCTTTTTCTGTGCTTCTCTATCTGTCACTTTCTCTTTTGTCCTGGTCCCCCTCTCTCTTTTTCTCTGCCTGTCCCTCTCTTTGTCTCTCTCTCCTCGCAGTGATGGAGAGCTGCTTTCAGCACCTACTGCAGCCAAGACGCCAGCTCAAAGTTGCCAATGGATTTCTCCCCCCCCCCTCTTTCTCTCTCTCTCTCTCTCTCTCGCACACTAAAACCACGTCAGCTGTGAGGAGGCACGTGGAGGGGGAGAGTGTGAGGAGGGAGAGCTCTGCTCTCAGTGATCAGTGTGGAGAGTGTGAGGGGAGTGAGCAGGTCCTGTGTTAGTGGTCTCTCTGTCAGTGCTGATAAGTTTCTGCCGCACTCATTCTCATCTCGTCCTGGAGTCGCTGTGTTGAGTTTTCCTGGATGGGCCGGTCTTAGTGCTGGCTGGTTTACGCTTCACATGCAGTGCGCCTACTGGCCTTTCTCACAATATAGTGTGGGGCTCTGTTACAGGTGTGTGACTGGCTGGGGGCGGAGACTCCGCTCAGTGATGCAAAAGAGAATCTGTTTTGTCACTTAATGGGGCATTCAGAATGATGGTTTTAAACCTTTTAAACCTGTCAAAAAGAATGCGTTTGATTAATGCATCTGATTATCAAGCAGGTGAACACAAGTCAGCGATTTGAGAGAACACGAAAGACTAAGATGACTGATAAACATTTTGAAACAGTGTATAATGAAGAGGAGACTCTGTTTCATTGTCAGGTTGTGATGATCTTTGTGTGGAGTCCTGAACAGCTCTTGGTGTAGGGAAAACTAGCTTCTCCTCTATGTTGGATGGCAGAGATGGCACCCTCAGCAGTGATTGGTCGGCTGTGGATGATGTATTGCTCTCTTTCAGGAGTGCTCAGAGTTGACATTTTTTTGAAGCGCATTGCTCAGGCTAGTGGAGTGTTTTTAAGTCATGGTGCATGCTGCTCTGTAGACAAAAATGGAAAGAAGCACACATGAGAGAGTTTGAAAAGGTGTTGTGTGAATGCCCTTTAACATGGCCAAGAACTGCCTGCTTTAACTCAAAAGGCCATTTGACTAACATGCAAAATAGCCAATCAAACCATTGAGATAACTGTCAAAACAGTGCTATAAAAAACAATCTACATGAAAAAAGTGGTATCATCAGCAAACACATGAGAATATCTCATATACCAGCTACTGACAGCTGACGTTTTCCATCAGACTCATAAAAACTGGTGCATGGATGTGCTTACACATGGATTATTAATGAGAACATAACTGACAAAATTCTTATAGTTCTGGACATCTTTCTTTGCAGTATATCTCAGGTGGTCCATATATCTCTGTAGGCGAAGCATCTGAAGTCAAGACTACCTATAGGTTAATGGCTTACACCAGACACGACATGTCAGTGACATCTACCCAACAAAAAAATAAACATATGGACATGTATTTTTATAGATTTGAAATACACTGCAATGCATGCTGAAATACATTGCAAACACTAAAATGTGTTTCAGAATGTATTGCCATATTAACCAAATATATTTTAAAATGTATGGTGCAATATTACACATAGAAATGTAACATAGAAAAATAAATGTATGTATTTATCAGATACATTTGAAAGTGTATGAAAATAGCCAGAATACTGTTTAATGCACTTTACTGCTTTACCTTTTCAAAGGAGTTTGTATTCCAGTATCTTAATTTTAAGTAATAGCAAATTAATCTTTAGCATGACAAAATCAAGTGTTGTAGATATTGATACACTGTGAAAATGCAGTTCGCTGATTTGATATCTTGTTTATTTGAAATACATTTTGAGTAATGTCTTACCACATATATACAATAGTTAATGCAAAGTAGAGTCCAAAACACACAAGTGAGTACCATTCATTTAATTACCGTATGTTTAGTCATGTCTGTAACCTTTGTTAAAACTACATACAATTGAATAAAATTATTAACAAATACAAATAAATGTATTTTACAAATATATTGAATAAAAACACTTTTGTCCATTTTCATAGCAAAAATAGACTTGATAAATACATTATGATAAATATTATTGTTATTGACATGTCCAAGCAGGACTGTTTAAAATGCCTATGCTTTGTGGCTCATGCCTTCTTCAAGGCTTAATACAAATGACGTAAAGGAAGGTGTATACACACGCCCAGTTAACACAGGTGCCTATGATCTGTCAGATGAAAGGTGCACCAACTAGACCCCATCCCACGCAATTTCATTGGCTAAAGATTCAAACCAGTTGATTTTGCATGGGCAAAGATATCTCTCAAATATATACAGTATAAAATATTGTAAATATATATTATTTTAAAAATACATAAATTACAAATATAATGTAATTGTTCTTGTGAACGTTTGCAGGAAAACGAGAGGCGTTTTGAAGATCCTGTTTGGCTCAGGTAAGGTAGATTGGTAGTAAACTGCACATGTAAATTAAAAGTGGCTTGTACATTCAACCTCTGGAGTGCCCCCCTTGAAGGTTTGCATCGTTGTAACTAACCTATGAACTTGTCTGTATCCAACCTTAAATCTTAATTGTGCTTTTACATCATTGCTTTAAAAAAATCGATACATAATTACATTTATTAGTGTACATATAAAATAACAAGCATTTTTAACCTTTTGGTTAGGCTCCACCCTTGACTGCCCACACATGTTGAACCTGTTACACTCTGAGGAAACACCAGTTTATTTTTTTTCCTTCATCATTCACGGTCTATTTATAGCCTGGGTGGACGTCAAATGCAATTTTCTCATCAAAGGAGAAGAATGGCCAGCCACCTATATTGCCGTACCTGCCTAATTTGATTTGTGTTGACAGCCTGATTTAGCAAGGCCTTGGGAGGATAGATGCACTTTGAAGAATCTCAACTCTTTCTGTAAACGGATAAGCCCTCTGGCTCTTATCTAAACAAACAGATAGTCAATAAAACATATTGATGGACTCTATAAGGGGATTATTTCTGGGTTTGTCCTTCCAATGCATATACACAAGTGCAAATACGTCATATCCATAGCAGCACACTTACAACATAGCTGCGTCTTCAATGGGTAATGCATAGCGTATGTGAGAATGTGTGCCATATTGAACTGTGATTGATCACATTATCTTTAAAAAACTCCTCCTTGACTAATAGATTACTGATTTAGGCATGTTGAAGAGAAGTAGTAAAGAAGTGGAATCTGCAGACAGTGCTGAGTCCTGCTCCTCTCGACTGGAACAGCTAATAAGAGAGCTGTCTTTGTTTATAAGTACTCAGAGAGACAAAGACTGATCTCTCGACTTTCTACTCTTTTTTTACTCTCTCCTATGGCCACGCTGTCTCTCAGGCAGTTCTCTTTTCAGAAGATCACTTTGCTTCCCAGTTGTAGCAGAAATGCTCTGATAAATTATACAGTAACAAGAAAGAAAATGCCTTTAAGGATTTCACAGTGAATTGATTTTAGCATCATTACTATGCACAGTAGATTTAGGTGCACACAAACAAACATAAAGTCAGAGACTACTCTTTATTTTTAAAATCCCATTCAAAATGACCATTATGTACGAGTTAATCCTTAAGTGTTATAAAAAGGCAGAAGACATATATTCAACTGTAAATTACACAGAAACTTTAATAACTAAATGTAATATAAAACTATCCAGTATTCAGTGTGTCCACCTTTTGCCTTTATTACAGTTTCCATTCTTTTTGGGGGACTTGCTTTCAGTTTTAAAGAAATCCACAGGGATGTTTTTCCACTCCTCAAATGTTCAGGCTTAGAAGTTGATGGCATTTTCCGCTTCTTATGATCCAAATAATCCCAAACACATTCAGTGATGTTGAGGTCTGGACTCTGGGGTGGCCAGTCCATTGTTCTGAGAACAGCAGCAGCTTTGTTTGACTCATAGTGTTGAGTTGTCTTCTTTCACAGTGGTAGGATGGACAGAAACGCCTGTGGATTTTTCTCCTCTCTCAAAGATAAAAGCTACTGTTTATAAAACAGTACTGTTTATCTGATGATGAAAGGTTTTGGTGGTCTGCAGGGTCTTGCACAGTTGTTAGCAGTCCCATTTTCTCTGCATCTTCTAATCATTTTCTGTACTCCAGTTTTAGACATGCCTGCTTTTCATTTTCCTTTGAATTTCCCCTTCATTATGCAAGTGCCTTATGTCTAATCGCCTCAGAAATTTTGTCCTGAAAAATGAATAACTTGTACTTAATGGCTATTTTGACTGGAAATTAAATACATGAAGCATGACTTTTGCACAGTATTGAATGTACACAGGGCTGGCAATATCTGTGAAATACTCCACCAGTGAACCAATGCTGTGGAATTTGCCAT